TGGTAATCAACGTCGTCTGAGACACCCCGCCCGTCGACTAGAAGAGGATGCGAAGCAAAGGCGAAGGGACGGGTACGGGAGGGGTAATATGTCAGATGTGGTGCGGACACACCACTCTTACCACCCCTCGTTCCTCGACGAAGGCGACGGCGGCAACGGACGGCGCCCACGGTGGCGACGGACGACGGCGACAACAGAGACGGCGACGCGAGCACACCAACTCGCCTCGACGAAGGCGGCGACGGTCACGGCTTTCTGGCTTTCGGATCATAACCCGGGAATGCGGCTGCCGTTCGGGGCAATCCGGGCGTTCCTTGACGCCTCTCGGCAAGGCGTAGCTGCTGAAACTCGGCGGTGGACAAACCTCCCTTTAGTAAACCTGCCCTTAGACAAAACAGCATAGGACCGAAACTGACGCACCTGGACCCGCAAAAACGACGGCCGCGACGCCCTCTCGCGAACCGAGAACGGCAAATTCCTTAATCGACGTGTCAAGGTAGGAAATCTGTCCACCCCCGAGAAACGCACCCCGAGGCAGGAAAACGGAAAACCTCCGGAAACTTACGAAGACCTCTACAGACCCCGAGCCTCGACGACGACCGCCGGGGTGACGGACGGCGACGCCGTCGTCGACGTCGACGGCCGCGGCGACAGCGGCGTCGGCGACCGACGGCGGGCTGGCCCGAGGAGCCGCGGGCTCACCACCTCGGCGAGGCCCCTCGCCTCGTCGAGGGACGCGGAGCTGCCCAGCCCGTGGGCCTTTGAGGGAGGGCGCCAGTCGGTCGTCGGTCTTCGGTCAGCGGGGCCGTCGACGCCCAACGCCGTCGCCGACGTCGCCGAAGTCGTCGCCGTCGGCAGCGTCGGTCGTCGGCGACGTCGGTCGTAGCCGTCGTCGTCGGCGCGGCTTCGTTAGGCGTCGTCGGCACCGGCGGTCGTCGCTGTCACCGCTGTCGTCGTGCGGCTTCCGCGTCGTCGGCGTGAAACGTGAACGTCACTCACGTCACCTGCAGCGGCGCCGACGTCGGTTGTCGTCCCTGTCGTCGGCAGCGGCGTCGTGGACGAAGTCGGCAGCGTGGGCGGCAGCGTCGGCGGCGTCGTCGGCGCTGGCGCTGTCGTAGTTTCACCGACGTAATCGTAGTCGTCGATTTCAACGTCGGCATCGTCATCGTCGGAGGGGGAAAGAGCCCTCCTGACTTCGGACTGTCCCCAAACGCCAGAATGACGAAGGAGGAAGAGGAGGGGGGAAAGCGCAATGAGTCGATGTCTCCCTGAGGTGCTTCGATGTGTTGGGAATCTTCATGAGCAGGGGAACCCACTCCCGAATGTCCCACTGCGACTGCAACAAGGCCTCGGCTCTCCTGGCAAATTCCCGCGGTGCCCTCCCCGCAGAGGCCCGCCATAGTCCAGAGGCTCGTCAACGGCCGCCGGCTCAGGGATAGCCCCGCACCGGCCCAAAAGACACGGAGAACAACGGCGACGAGGATATGAGCACAGAGGGGGAACGAACTACGACGCGAACTGTGGACGCGCCGCGGTCAACCGCTGCGTGGCTGACTGGTCACGGAGCGGATCGCACAGTGGGTGCCGTCCGTGCCATCTCCTTCTACTGCGAGGGGAAGCCCCCGGCAATCGGGTCGTGGCGCTGCTCGTGGAACAGGCGCGCGCCTACCACGAGCAGCGCCAAGATCCAGGCCGCCACGCAGCCTCCCCCAAAGCAGTCGAGCGGGTAGCCCCCAGGAAGCCGACCTCAACTTGGTTGTCCTGGCCCGGCAGGCCCCCGAAACACCCCCAAGAGGCCACCAACACGGTGGCAGGCTTGGCGGAAGGCCACTAGGCCGCCACTGGATTTGGGCTTCCACAATATTAGCCAGCGTGGAACCCAAAACAGTGATTTCTCACCATCTGTGCGAATATATATAGGTGGTGCAATCCATGTGTTGCAATCTAGGTGGTGCAATCCGCGTGATGCAACGCAATGCAATGCACTGCACAACATTTCAAAACAATGCCACATACTGCAAAACAACTCAAAACAATGGAAACTATACCAATCAATGCAAAACACTTCAATAAACCACAATAAAACGCAATGCAAGGCAAGGTCATGCGGTGCAAAGTGATACACAGCCACGCAATGCGATGCACTGGGGTGCAATGCCAGGCAACGCGATGCAAAGTGATGCAAAGAGAGGCACAGCGATGCAGAGCAGTGCGCTTGCAACGGCATGCGGCATGCGGCATGCGGCTGCAGGATTCAGCGCAGTGCGACTGCGTACTGAAAATCCGCCGACCCTGTCGGCGTGTGTGAGGGGCTTTTCCGTTCGAGCCGTCATCTCCGTCATTCTTTGTACTCGTCGTCTGTCCTTCCCTTTCCCTGGGAGACCTCTTCCCCTGGGCTCCAGCCAAGCCGACCTTGAGCAACCTCGTAATTGAGTCGAAGGGAAGCCCCTTCCCTTTGATCCCTCCCCCGCCGGGAGGGGGGGGGGGGTAGCGACCCCCCCCCCGGGTCAGATACGACGCCCCCCCCTGGGACTCCTCTTCCCCTGGGCTCCAGCCAAGCCGACCTTGAGCAACCTCGTAATTGAGTCGAAGGGAAGCCCCTTCCCTTTGATCCCTCCCCCGCCGGGAGGGGGGGGGGGTAGCGACCCCCCCCCCGGGTCAGATACGACGCCCCCCCCTGGGACTCCTCTTCCCCTGGGCTCCAGCCAAGCCGACCTTGAGCAACCTCGTAATTGAGTCGAAGGGAAGCCCCTTCCCTTTCATCCCTCCCCCGCCGGGAGGGGGGGGGGGGTAGCGACCCCCCCCCGGGTCAGATACGACGCCCCCCCCTGGGACTCCTCTTCCCCTGGGCTCCAGCCAAGCCGACCTTGAGCAACCTCGTAATTGAGTCGAAGGGAAGCCCCTTCCCTTTGATCCCTCCCCCGCCGGGGGGGGGGGGGGGGTAGCGACCCCCCCCCCGGGTCAGATACGACGCCCCCCCCTGGGACTCCTCTTCCCCTGGGCTCCAGCCAAGCCGACCTTGAGCAACCTCGTAATTGAGTCGAAGGGAAGCCCCTTCCCTTTCATTCCTCCCCCGCCGGGAGGGGGGGGGGGTAGCGGGGGGGGGTAGCGACCCCCCCCCCGAGTCAGATACGACGCCCCCCCCCCGTACCGACCTTGAGCAACGTCGTCATTGAGTCGAAGGGAAGCCCCTTCCCTTTCCCTTCCCCGACGGGGGGGGGAGAGGAGGTCCCGGGGGGGGTCCCGGGGGAGTCCCGGGGAAGTCCCGGGTCAGATACGACACCTCCCTCCCCCACCTTCTCGTCCTTCTCCCCGTTCCCCCAAACCATCCCACAGCCCGTGCCTCTTGCTGCGCATTGCGAACAGGGTCGGCGGCACCGGCCGTCAGGCCTTCGCAATAGTGCACGCGCAACGCAGCTCGGCTTCGATGCAACCCGGGAGGGGTGCAGCGGGGCGGCGGCGACGGACCCGAACGGGGCCCCAGGGCCTGCAGACGGGCCTCTTATCCAGAACACGGTGCGAGAAGGACTGGAGCAGGACCGCCGGGGCCGCACACGGGCCCAGGTCCTCAGAGAGGAGCAAGGAACACGCAGCGCGGGCACTGCTTGGGAAGAGTGGGAGAAGCACATGGTCCAACACCTTGGCAAGCATGTGGCCCAACGCTTGGCCACATAGGCGCTTCAAGAGAATGGTGAGGCCGGCGGTGGTTTGCCGTAGGCGTCTTCGACCTGTTTTCTAGTACGGCTCAGGCGTTCGAGAGGCCGGGTGCGTTCTGTTCCACAGCGACGCACTGGCTGGCCACATCGTTCAGCTCGCACGAGAGCTCGTAGTCCGCCACCGCTTGGTGTAGCGGCTGGTGCGTGCGCGGGCGTGTGTGAGTGACTGCATCATTGTGTGAATGCGTGTGAGTGGGTGTATGTGAGCGTGTGCGAGTGCGTGTGCGTGTGTGTGTGTGTGTGTGTGTGTGTGTTGTGTTTATGATTGTGTGCCTGTGCGTGTGCGTGTGCGTTTGCGCGCGCGCGTGTATGTGTGCGTGCGTGTGCGTGCGCGTGCGCGTGTGCGTGTGCGTGTTCGTGTGCGTGTGCGTGAGCGTGTGTGTGAGTATGTGTTGTGTGTGTGTGTGTGTGTTTGTGTGTTGTGTGTGTGTGTGTGTGAGGTCGCTCCCTCTCTCGTCTGCAACCATGTAAGACTCCCCCACAGCGTGTTTCCCCATGGGTGAACCCTGTGTGTATCTGGCCGGGCCGCATGAATGCTCCGGCCGAGGCCCCTGTGGCGATCAGGCCCCCTCGGGCTCTTCAACTGCCTCCGCCGCGTGGCTGCGCGCGTGGGTGCCGCGCCAAAAGGTGCTTGCGTACTCTTCATAGGATGCCAGAATGTATCCGGGTGCGTCGCCTCCGCAATATGGACTCGTTCGTCTCGGGGCCCCTCCTTTCCCCTTTCCATGAGACCTTGCATGTCGCTGCCTCTTCGTCCGTGCTGCTCGCCTTGACCTGCCCCCCTTCTCCGGGATCTCACGAATTCGGTTGGAGCGTGCACGGCGCACACGCGAATACAGCTTAGCTTGCGCGCACAGTTTGCTTCTAGGGGCAATCATGATCCACGTCGCCGCAGGCAAGGAGCGGCTTACCTTGCTTCTGTCATTTGCGCGCTCGCACCAGCCCCGCCTCTCACCCCGCCTGGCTCTCCTGAGACCCTGCCCCTCCCGAATCAAAGCAGTGAGGTGGCCGGTATGCGTTGCAGCAGACATGGATAGTTGCCGTATAGCACTCGGATCACCTCGGGACTTGTGTTCGACAGAACGCCGTTGAAGGCGATCGCAAACTTTCCGGGCTCCCACGTGTCGTGCAGTCCTTGCGCGGTCGCAGGGTGATACGAGTTGAACTCGCGCTGTGGGCTCAGGCGGACCTCCGGAGGGTAGATGCCGTCCATGTCGTCCGCCTCTTGCTCGGCCGGCGAGGCTGAGACGGGATCCTCGCTCTGGAACTTCTGTGAGTTCTCCCTCAGGAAATTCCAGATGATCGCGGCGTTCTCCCACCACGGGTGGTCTATCCAGGGCGAGTCGGCGGACCCCCAGACTTTCTCAAGGAAGTCCTGGCTCCAGCCCGAGGAGCGCAGGAAGAACGCTCCAGTGTTGAGCATCGCGTGGTCCTCCGCCACGAGCATGTGGATGCCCGGGTCCAGGCCAGACGCCTTGGAGCCCCGCGCGCCCACGTCTGCCGGGGGCTCTGCCCGCGCGTACTTGTACAGCACGGAATCCAGGGTGACGCTCATGTTCATAAAAGCCGCCGCCGCGCCGCGCGCACCCGAGAGGACCCCCGAGAATGTCCAAGGGCCCCCCAAGAGACCACCAAGGTGTCCCTCAACAGACCCCAGGAAGTATCCAAAAAGGGTTCTGGAGCACGACCCAGCCACGGCGACGGGACCAGAGATATCAATCTGCATCAGTGCGTTCCTCCTCCTCCTCCTCCTCCTCCTCCTCCTCCTCCTCCTCCTCCTCCTCCCTCTCCTGCCTCCCGCCTCTCCTCCCTGTCCTCCTCCTCCTCCTCCACCTCCTCCTCTTGCTCTCTCTTTATTCCTCGCCCTAGTGTTTCCCCAAGGGTCTCCACAACGACTCGCAAAGGCATACTCTGGCCCAACGTTTGACCACATAGGTGGTTCCAAAACAGCACGGGACGGCGGCAGTTCACCGTAGGCGTCTTCGATCCGCTGCCCCCTCTGCGTGCACATGAGTGCTCGGCGTGCTGAGGTTTGACACTCTGCTCGGCCATTCTGAGAATAGAGTGGCCATCCGCCTTACAGTCGGCCTTGATTGGACAGACAGGACACGCGAGAGGACACAAGACCCTTCCGAGGACCACATAGTCTGAAATGACTATGGTAAGTCAAATAACATCCAATTCCATGCTGTGTTAGTTCAGTATGGGGAGTGGATGGATAAGATCGGATAGTATCGACGTAATGATCTTTCCAGCACATAGCGAACACAAGCAGTGTCCAGGCAAATAGGGCGCGCGTGCCTTGAGCCACAGGCAACGGCGCGCAGGCTATACTCCCGACCCTCTATAACATCTCCCAAAGAGCTACCCTTAAAGTCGGGAGGGGAGGAGACGGAGAGCAAAGCCGCGCAGCCGTTGGGCTCTAGAAAGGCCGCGCGCACAACTGTTTGCAAGAAAAACAGTGCGCACAGTCTGGCCTACCACCAGACTGAAGGGCGAGATTATTCGCCGGCGAGTTTCCTCGCAAAACGTTTTCACGCATACGCAGGATAGCCCCTTGGACATCAAAGGGCTATCGGCCCGAATAAAGGTAAGCCAAACAGGCGATTCCCCCCCAGGCAAAAATACATTAAAGCAACGAGCCTGAACCAATCTGAACAGGCTCGCTGCCAAGCGTGAAAAGTAGGGCTCGTTTCCGGGCGGCTAGGAGGGCGCCTCTGCATTAGGCGCCCGTGCTGGCAAACTGGACCGCGGGGGCAACAAGGACAAACTAAAACTGATTCGACTTAGGCTTACTTCTGTCCTCAGGGACACGAAAGGGAACAAATTGCTTCACGTCATACTTAAATGACTGAGTGCCTCACATCACTTCCAAAAGCAGCTCCCGATCGATACTCCCCTTTGTATGCCCATCTGCGGTCATGTCTCTAGTATCGCACCACTGTACGTTGTGCACTATACCTATATCCATGAGCTGACGTATCCAGCTGATATGTCCCAGCAAAGTCCGTTCCGTCGGCATCTTAAGATCTTTGTTGGATAGCGATGTGTATAACGACTCAGCGTCTATAGTAAGGGATACTTTGATAGCTAGGCCTCCAACTTCACGCATATCTCGTAGTTGTCGTGGAATGAGTGTCCCTGCCTTGAGCTCGTGGAGAGTGATGAGCGCGGGATAACATTCATCAAGATTGTGTGCAGCTGCAAGTGCCTCAGCGGCATAGCTGGCCCTCACCTGCAGTCGGTGTGATTTACATAGTCCGTCGCAAAGGTGAATGACGGATTTGCCTTGAGGCGAATTTCCTCGCCGTAATACGTTAGCCCCACGAATGCCGTAGCCCTTGGTTTCATCGCCCTCCTCCCCGGTGAGCTTCCGATACCCCGAATCACTGTGTATGTCTACTTCATTCATCGGTTTCATCCGAGGGAAGGTGATGCGCTTCGGGCTGCTGATCCGCTTTCGCGTCACAGCATTCAGTCGCCTGACTTGTAAGTTGGTGGGCTCTAGGATCTTCTGGAGAGAGACCACATACATTATAAGCCAGACTTGAGTAAGAATGGCATAGGCGAGAGCTCCTCGCAGGCTAACGAACATGTCGGTGATGAGTTTGGTAGCTTTGGCGTCTGCCGCCGCTCCCGTAAGTTCAGGGTGCGTGATAGGACGTAGTTGTTTAATGTACTCGTCCTGATCCATGATCACGTCCCCTTGTTCATTCTTAGTGTAGCGAACGGCACAGTTTGTATAATAATGTTTGTTGAGCTTGCAATTACCAAACACCTTTCCGACACGTTGTACATAGTCATCCTCGTTTTTTTCTCTAGGCCTGTCATATTGGTATCGTCGACATCTTTTGCCGTTAGCAGATCCTGACTGAATGCAAACTCAAGATCGTAACATGTCGGCGCGAGGCCTATAGCTCGTGTAGTCGCACGAAGCTTGAGGGAGAGAGCTCTTGGGGCGTCCTCTGTACCCGTTCCTGGCTTGAGGCACCTGAGGCAGCGTCGGCTTTCATCGTAAGAAGAGAAGCCTGGCAGCGTACGAAGCACCTGGGCACTTCCTGGTGGAAGAGCGAAGCAAGCCATGCGAGTTTCCTCGCCGGTGGCATGAGCAAGTTCCTCCTAGGTCAGACCTTCGAGAAACGCTTTGTCGATATCCATAGATGCTAAGACCCATTCTGGATGACATGCACCTCACTTGCCAGGAGCCTCTGGGGCTGTCTTCGAGCAGTTCCTGAGAAGGTTTCTACATCGAACGCCTCCGTGCCCATGAAACCGTGAAGGACAAGTCTGAGACGGATGGTTTTAACGTTCTCGGCGCCTGCCTTCACAAACTTCCACTGATATACATAATCTTGATGTCATGATGTCGGAAGCTTCAGATAGGTCATACATCTCAAAGCACAAGTTGTCAAGCCAGATCTTGAGTTCGGTGTACAAAGCTTCACTAACCTCTTTAGGGTGTGCTGCTATATCGGCTTTGGTGAGTCGGTCGTCTTTCTTGACTACCACAGCACGTTTCGCAGCCGATGATACATCTACTCTCATCGTTGCGACCATGTCAGTTTCAAGCTGTGCAAGTTGGGTCTGATCCAACACTGCCTTTGATATTTCTGGTGCGAAACATAGCTCAGCATAAGGACCGTGTTCATCACTGTCAAGAGAATAGCCCTCGTCAGGTGTAGTCGAGCATAGAGAGATAAGACAGGGCTCTTGTAGTTCAGGCTCGTCTCCGAGCATCTCCGACACTACGGTATCTTCCTCGTCCACGAATGCTGATACCAAGACACATTGGTCGGGCAGCATAGTTGTTGGGACGCAGTAGAGATGGTCGTCGATAACCGTTGTGGGATGAAGGTCCATACGTAACTCATCGCACCACCCCTCCATTATCATAGCCTCGATGTCATGTTCCTCTTTTTCTTCGTAGACTGTAGACAGGCGACCTTTCTTGGTGAGGCCTGGGGTGTCTGGTGGAGGCCTGTCTCCAGGCTGGTCGTGTTCTCCAGACGTTGTGCCAAAGTGCTGATACTTGGCAAGGTCATCATGAAATCCTAGGGAAGGAACTTGTGACGTCAGGCATTGGATGAGTCTGGAGTGAGTGCTACCAGTGATTTGAGAGATGTGCAGGCCGGTGCCCACACACTCATAATAGTGGAAGGCTGGGTTAACATCACTGTCGTAGTGGATGAGTGTAGACCCGGTGGCGTACTTTACTGCAGGTAGATTTGACACGTTCTTGGCCAATCTCACGGCTACTACACGTTCAAATCGGACATAATTTCGCACGAGATACTGCAGTGCAAGGTGTACGCGCGGGTGGAACTTACTGTCGTCTGGCAGATTGAGGTTTCCCTAGTAGTCTGGAATATAGCCAAAGACTTTGGCAGGTTTCCCTGCACCGAGGTGTGCCACATATGCACGGACGGTTTGCATGGCCACGTTGCCCATGCCAAGTTCCCTGGTAAGAAGGCATTCAATGTATAGCGTGTGGCGAGCATCAGGGTACATGACAATTACCTCACGCGATCCTGCCTTGACGACAACGCGTCCTCGTTCAGGCACGTTGCGGATCACAGGAAACGGGCCGTTCCAGCCTCCATGGTCGTCCTTAGTGGCTGTAGGTCGGTGATAATCGACCAAGTCCCCTGCTGAGTAAAGGCGAGCGCCATCTGGGGCCGTCTTAGCCCTGAGAGCACGATTTGTCTTAGCTACCGCCGTGGCTTGAGTTATTGCTTCCAGGCGAACTTCCCTCACGCGGCGTTCTCGTTCGTGGCCTGACGTCTCGGGCCCCTTAGGGGAGTCAAGGGTGTCGAGGTCAGGAAGAAGAGAGGGCTGTCGCCCAGCGTGTGCTTGGCACGGCGCTACTCCGTTGTAAAACGTGAAAGCGCTGGTGACGAAGATGCCTTCAGCCAATACTCTAGTAAATACAACGGGGATGTTGTGTCTGTTCAGCTCTTCCTCAATCATATGGAGAGTGCGCCTAAGAACGCCGTTACGTGACTCGATCGAGGTCGCGTGTTGGCCAGGCGCTCGGATACGAAGTGTCGCACCCTTGTTCGCCATCATGGCCTTGGCAGCGTCATTGTTGAGGGCGTCTTCTCCATCTGAATACAAGATTTTGAAGGGTCCATGATAGGCAATCCAGCAGTAGTGGTAGGCGTCGAGTATAGTGTCACGTTCTCTATCAGAAATCTCCTGGCCTGCTGCCAGTCGGATACATCGGTCCATAATTTGAAATATGGTTCGTTTCTGGTAAAACATGAGATCTACTTCGCTTTCGTCAAGCCAATTTCCAGGAAGGCTTACGGAAGGTAGCGTAGAATTACCTGGACGTTCCCATGCTCTACATTCCCGACATGTGTCACATATTGCTTTGATCATATGTAATCGAACGCTATCCAGTCCCACTTTGTCTAGGATCAGCCTCATCTTGGGTTCCTTCGCATGATACCACCGTAAGTGCAGTTTGCGGAGTTCCTTTTTGGCTACGTGAGGTTCGTGACTACGGAGGTTTTGCAGACTGTGTTGGATGTCAAATCTCGTCCAGTCGGGCAGTCGTGGAGCCCCCGAACCGGTTGAGGCAAGAGGGTTCCTCGTGGCTCTCCGCAGTCGGTCTCCTTCGTCAACTGCATCTGGCGGTGG